AAATAAACATCTAAAGATATTGCGTGACAAAAATTAAACCATGTCTTATAACTAGAAAAAAAAAAAAATGTTCAACAACATAATAAAAATCTTTACCTCATATTGTTAAATAAAATCTCATAATATTTTAACTTCATAAATTCATCAATGGGAACTCCGATTTTTAAATTTTCTGTTGAAAATCTAATTTTCAAATGCAAAATAATACTATCGATTATATATTTATTTTTATTAACGGTATATAATAAGCGTTAGATAATTAGACAATTATATTTTTTACTCATAGCCCGGACCATAACAAAGAAGTAAGTAAAAAGTATTTGCCTATTAGTTAAACAATTTTATTCAAATTATCTATTAAATTTCAACAGACGGGTAGTACCCGAGTAATGCCCAAGTAGGTAATATGAATAAAATTCGTGGGCTGGTGACCATTTACGTTTTTATTGTTACGGTCAATTATTTTTGATCTGCAAATATAAAAATGAAATTCTTCGTAAATATGTCTTCTTATTATTATAATTATTTTTCTTTTCTTATAATATTCGATAATTTTCCACATTCTAGTTGCCCCTAAATCTACGGACTTTTAACGATTTAAACGGACAACGGAAATAAATAAAATACTTTTCGGGAAAATTCAAAATTAACTTAATCGGGAATAATAAAAAAAAAAAAAAAAAAAAAATGCAATTTGCTCTCAAGTTAACGTAGAGGAAAACGATTCGAGTTTTAGTCAAGCTAATTAAGACAACAAACAAGTAAGTTGAGTTAATAAGTTGATATTATCCTAACTCTAAACTTAAATTTTAACTTATTGACTCATAAATGACCAGCCTTGATTATTACCACGTTTGACCGAATCAGCGGTTTGTTATGGTATCGCGAGACGTACGCGCCCAGCTGCTACAAACGAATAAACGACAACGATACCGCAAAATAATAATTATCGCATAGACGAGATAATATTTTCGTATCGAGTTGCATGGCCATGTGTGTTTTGAGATTTTCGGTCCACTACGATAGAATTCGGTAGTTTTTTCAACAACAAAAAAAAAAAAACAATAATTATTATATATTATTTTAACGGCCATGTGCGGGTGCCATGTCGGTAATCGGACCGCCGCCGGCTTGTTACATGAACATAATTACCACGGACGGAGTCAAAAACTAAACATTGTATGTTATTATTTTTAAAAATTAACGCGACAAAATTAATACCATAGCGTTATCGTTAGTGTACTTGCAGATACGACGAAATAATATACCGTCGGTCTGTCACAGTTATATTTTACATTCACATATCGTACATTATTTTATATAATTATTGACATTTTTCTAAAAAAAAAAAAAAAAACACCAAAATAATAATTAGATGTACACTATCGCCTGTCGGCGGCGTCTGGGTTTTATATTTTTGATTATATCCCAACAAATCGCAAACTGGAGGAAAAATAACCGAAAACAAAGGCAGATACTGCTGACGGGTGTGCACAGCTGTTTTTACGGGATGTGTGAGAGAGGATATTATAATATCATAGAGCCAATTCTAATTTATTATATTTTACGTACGCGACACGATAAGCCGTCGCCAACGATGATACACGCATCTGAGCTGAGTAGTCTATATATAAATATTAGTCGCGTTTCGTAGCTCGTCGCCGAGGTAACCGAGAAATCGAAAAAAATTATACCACGAATTACGAGTTTTTCCCTTTTTTTTTAAGAAAAACACGAGGAAAAAAAAAGAAAGACGGAATACGAAGTCACGGATAATTTATAATTGAAATTTGGATATTACACGAACATCACATACTTAATAACGAAGTATTTTGTTTGTTAGAATCGATTTAATGGATCGGCTATGTTGGCAGTCCATATATTATAGATTTATAGTCATTATCGCTGATTGCATTTTTCAGTATTACCGACACATCTAGAGAACGCACTGAATCAAATGGCTGTTAAGCCAAGAGAGTAGATTTATTATTATAAATTGTATAATTGTATAATTTGTTAATTATTAATAGGCCCCGGGACTTCCAGCACTTAAAATCTCAAAAAAAAAAAAAACAGTTCTTAAACACAACAGAAAAGTTTTAAAAAAAGCACTTAAAAAATATTTAAAACAGCAAAAACGGTAGAAAGGTTTAAAAGGCTCACTCTAATGACTATAATTTATTTAATAAGATTGTCTAATACTATACAAATAATCAACACAAGTAAATTTTTATAAAATCGTACGTATTATGAAAAAAATTACCCATTTGTGTAGTATTGCCTAGACAATATTATATTTAATTAAACAGAGTTATTAGAAGGGGGACTTTTAAACCCCTTTAACATTTTTGGCTTTTTTTTAAAATATTTTTTCCAAGACTTTTTGACTGTTTTAAGCGCTATTTTATGGATTAAGTTTCTAGTCCTGATTACTAACATCTATAATTCTACCTACGAATTATAAATTAATTGTCTTGTTTAAGTTTAAGACAAGACAATATTTATTATACACTTGTGATAACCCTTTTTTTCTAAATCCTAAGCCCCTGAAAATAATACTTAAACAATAAGCTCGTAGCAACTCATTCTATGCAATTTCCGAAATTATCCATCTCCTATCCAATACGAAGCCCACACTATGCCACTGAATATGATATATTATATATAGTTGAATGTAAAAACGTAAGTATAGCTAGAAGATATATTACAAGTCACAGTGTTTTATCATTTCGAGTTTTGTAATTATATTATATTATATTGTATTATACAATTGTTATTTTCAAAGCACAAGTTGATAAAACACAAACAGTCGGTGAGATCGAAAATTCAAAACTTCTGAGACGCGTCCTCGTCAAAAATACTATTTATATATACACATTTTAGCCAAGATTTGTGGTTTTACTTTCATGAGCCTTAAAGGGTAATCAAAACTCGATATTTTCTGTGAGACCATAAAATCTGAGCATAAAAATAGTTGGGGAGGGAATGAAAAGTGGAAGTCGCCTAAAGGCACATACTTAGTACTTACAATATGCATATACAGCATTTAATCCCTCCGGCTTTGTTCGAAAGGGTCTGTACGGTCGAGTAAATTTAAAAAAAAAAAAACACACTTTTACTGCAACAACATGGTGCAGTTCAAATTGAAGTATAACCGAAATTCTGTCATTTCAATTCGTTTACTAAATAACTCTAACTCCCAAATTTGAATTTTTTTTAGGTCCAAAAAAAGCGAAGAATTGTCTAAATATATATAACAGACACATTCAGTCTTTATTTTCGGAGGAAATTCGACAGAAATAAAAAATAATAATTATAATATCGTATTACAATGACGACACTGTAGAAACATTACATCTATTTTGATTTGTGTGCGGTGAATATAAATTAATAATAATTTAAAAAGTCTCGATTGTCGTGAGACGGCGATCGTGCGTGTGGTCCGTAACAGTGGTGATATCGTGGACAGATTTCAAAAAAGGGGGTTCGAGTGAAATATTCAAAGTTTTGTTTTACGTATATGTGATTTATGTGCAAGGATTTTTTCGCTAGTTGGTGGTTTTTCCTAGTGAGTCATTATTTTTGGCTGCAGCAGATGTTACAATACGAAATGATAATATGGACCGGAACGCTGGATCGACGGTACGAATCGAGTCTGACCGGGTCCCTCGTGCTATAAGACCATATAATAATAATAATACGTAGGCGAGATTTCGTTTCAGATTCTGAGTGAAGCGAGAAGGAATGTATTGATTATTTACCATGACGCGCGCGCGCGTGTGTGTGTGTGTGTGTGTGTGTGTGTGTGTATGTTTAAACAACTTTTCTAACAGTAATCTTGCTCCAATCAAAAACTTTACAAAACTTTTTTGATTTAGTTGGTGCATCATTGATGAGGTCAGCTTTCGATTGTCCGTATAGTTTTCTTAATAAATGGGAAAAAGTGGCGATTTTTTTGTTGATTTTTATTATTTTATTACTCAACTCTATTAGTGACATTTTTCGTCGACGGTGGCTATATGTTTTAGCCATCGCCGAAACACAATTGTTAAATTCGATATTCAATTAGATCCCGGAAAAAAAAAATGACATTAAATTAATCTTTTTTTTAATACTAAGTATAACTTATGAGGAATTTCGCGATAAATTATCGATTATCTATACATATCCATACTTATCCATACATAAATTATGATCATTGCAAATCAGCCAAAACCTACAAAATTCGAAAATATTCAATGGTTATAAATAGTTAAACAAATCGCTAAAATAATGTTCGTATTGTACCATGCCTAGAAAGTAAAAATTGCTGATATTGAAATAGCGCTATGAAAATTTCAGATCGCTACACGATTATTTTAAACTGCGTTTAAAAATCAAAAGCAAAAAAACATTATCGCTTAAACGTTATCGCTTACATTATCCCGTTTTTTTTCTTCCGATCATTAAGAAAACTACATAGACAGTTAAAAAAAAAAACGGCTTTCTCACTCACCTTACTCACCTTTTTTTTTTTTTTCCGTGATTATTTGTTCGGTCAAATATAATAATTATGGTGGTTAATTTGTAGGAAAGTGTATTTTTTTTTTGCCTGATTGTGAAACGTAGCTTTTATTCATAATAACCAATTACATAATTTGAATCATGTGATACAAAATCAATTTATAAAACATTTATATTGCATTTTTTGCTGTTTTTAATTTTTAAAGTAATTTTTTGGAATTTTTGAGACGTATTTTCCTTTTAAGTTCATTTTCCGGTATTTTTAATCAAATTCCGTCAATTAACATTTTTACACGCATATTTTATTGTTTTATACAGGCTGTGTATACCTACGTAAAATTTATATTTTATACAAACTGTATAGCTTATACGGGTTAGGTAAATATAAGGATTCGATAAAATAAATTAACTCATTCAACATTTAAATTCGATCAACATTTTTATAATTTTTTTAAAAGAAATTTTTTTTATTTAATAAATACAATTTTATTTATACAATACACTAATATCATAATATCGAAATAAATATAAAAATTAAATGAAAAACCATTTTAAGTGCATTTCGTATTACATTTTCGAGAATTTAAATCCATATTTTATAGTATTTATTGTGCACTTATATGGTTTTTCACTGCGTTCAATTAACAGCCCTGGTGATAATGGTACCGACATAACATTAATATTATATGATTAACAGTGATAAAATATTACATTTATAGTTTTTGAGTTTTCGTCGAAGTCGAGTTTGCACGAAAATCGCTGTAAATTCGTTTTATAAAAATTCATTTCATCCGGGTGTTTCTCTACCTACGCGCGATATCTGAAAAATCGTATGATGCTGCAGTAGACCTTTCACACGAGTGCGTCCGTCCGGCATCAGCGTCATTCGCCTTACATGTCATGTCCGTATTAACACCGATCCAGTACCGTACTGTCAGTAGGCATTTGTGTGTAATGAACTTCAACGGTACACTATTGAGGGCGTTTCGCTGTCAAAAGTTTCTGGTTTTACTGTATTTATACGAATATTTTCCTGCTTAAAATTTTTAAAACTCAGAAGAACTAACTCCTATACATACTGATCGATTTATTGTAAATACGACCAACGCCAAACACAAACACCGTATTTAGAAAGTCGTTTGTCATTAAAAATACTAAAAACATACCCCAAATGATTATTGACATTGTTCCATGAAAATGAGAGATTCAAAATCAGAAAAAACAAACCCGTTTTTTTTCCGAAAAATAGAACGATTTGTGGGAAAAAATAAATCGTACAGCAACAATATTGTGACATAAAAAATAGGATCCAATGGTCTCATTAGATTTGGATAAAACACTTTAAACGCAGGAAATAAAAATGCATTAAATATGTATCGTTGTAACTAAAGTAATGGTGAAAGAACAGTAATGATTTGGTTTGGATTTCGACGCTACTTTACTGAAAGAAAAAAAACAACACCTAAAATCTGAAAAAAGCAAAAACAGGCTTTAAAAAAAAAAAAATTATCTATTATATTTCCATCAATATCAATATACTTCAAATCCAAACGATAATAATGAATAATATTACGTACATAATATACAGAGAGTGTTTCACTAAGCGTGCTCACCCCATTGTTTTGGTTTAATTTTGCACGTATTCATATTCTGATTTTTGGAATTTTTAAGCATAATTAAAGCCGATATTTTCGAATACTTAGATTAGTCACAACATTTAAGGAGTATCCATGTGTCGATACCAACTTTGGTTTTTCAAATGAGAACCTATATTAAAAATACCATAAACTGACGGAGTATTACTTTAAATACATTTTTGGTATTAAAATTGTTCGATTTCAGTCGACCCGTTGACGAGCCGTTCAGTTTTAAGTTTAGGCAGGGAAAGAGTAGTGGAGCACTAATAAAATGTCATGCGCCGTGTCACCACTAGTGGTGGGAAAAATCCGGATTTGCCGAAGTTCGAAAATCCGGATTTTCGCAATCCGAAAAATTTCTCTTAAGACATATAATAATTTTCATCGCAGATACCTACCAAACAAAAATGCATACAAAAACACAAATGTATCAAATAAACGCAATAGCCTGAAAATAACTAGTTTGTTCGGAAAATTGTACCGCGTCTACAAAAGGCCAATATAAGTATTTTGTGAAAACTACAGACCTCTAAAATTATTTAACATTAGTTACGATAATGTAAAATCATGAATTCGTTATTACGCCGTAAATATTTGTCCGTTTGTTCCTACATTTTTTCCCAATAATTATGAAAACCTGCTTGCAAAATCAAAAAGTGACTTCCTTAAAGACAATTTTCGAAATCTGAGGTCTGAAAACTAAATTTTCGGTTTTTAAATTCAAAATCCAGATTTTCGGATAATCCGAATTTATATCACATCACTAGCAACCACAAAAATTATACCTCACTACTTTCTCTTTACCTAAACTAAAAAGTGTAATATCTCGTTGACTAGTTGAAGAAAACCAAAAGTGGCGACACCAAAACTTATTTAAAGTAATACTCAGACTGTTTATAGAATTTTTAATATAGGTTTTCATCTAAAAGTTGTTATCACCACAGGATACGCCTTAAATGTTATGAAAAATCTAAGTTTACACTTAAAACATTCCAAAAATCATAATTTGAAAATAAGCAAAAAATAACCGAAAAAATTGGGAGAGCACGCTTAGTGGATCGTCTTGTATAATGTATACATATAAATATATATATATGTGTATTAAAAAAGTACTCGCCATTAAAGTATGAATATGCAAAATATGCTATGTAATATAAACAGTATAAACAGCAATGTTCATAAAATAAACAGTAAATATAATTAAAATGCATTTTACATTTGAGAATATAGCGAACGTTAGATTATAATACATAATGTTATTATGAAAACTATTAAACTATTATGTCAAACTTAAACCTTGCTTTTTCTAGACGTGGTAAAATTTTCGTAACTTCGTTGAACTATTTCTAGACAATTTGTCGAGTTTTTCATGTAATTCTTATTCGGTAAGTACTCTGTGGATAAAATTGTAAGACTAAACAACAGATATTCTTGAAAATTTAACTGGAGTTTAATTAAGTTTTACTTAGCGGACAACAAGAAAAAGTTGAGTTTGTTTTTTTTTTTTTTCATAAGAATTTTAATATCAAATTTTGACGAAAATCGCGAACATTACGACATTTCAAAACGCGTATAACCGAACTCCGCTATGAATCGTTTTTCGTTAACAACGATTAATCGTTGCGTACGGGTGTACACATTGAATTAGTTTCCCTCCGGTCCTCTACGCTTTTGACTTCTCACCGACAACAGTGGTCCGCCCATCGTGCCAAGTATGTCAGTAGTTAAATTTTTTTTTTTTTGCTTCGTTTCGACGAATACGTGGAAAGGGTTGATAATTTTTTGTAACGACTGTGTACGACGGTGGCAGCGGCGTTGTCACACTTGTTGCGCCGAATTCGTTTAATATTCTCGTCACGGTACGACAACAAGACGGCCGCGAAACAACAGTAATTATGCGTTTATAATAATATTTTATTACACGAACACGCGCCGTACGAAACGAACGCGCGAAGAATGCGAGAAAAAAAAGAAAAAAAACAACGATCCGATACCGGGGACTGCCGACTGGCACGGCCGCGACTGTTGCGGGTTGGAAACCGGGGAAGGTAGGATATAGAGGGGAATTTAATTTATATCCGTGTGCGACGAATAATCGTCGCTAACGAAATACGAGTCTGAACGGAGCTCGGGTCAATATAAGTTTTGTGTAATGAACAACGTGCGTTTTCGCGACAACAGCGATTGTTTAAAAAATATCAACATATTAAAATAAATAAAACTTAATAAAAACGATTGCCAAACGTGTGTTTTTCAATCTGTTTTTAACCCCGAAAACCAGTATTTTCTCAATTATCTCGCGTATTAATGAGTATTTTTTAAAAATAAAACCTAGTTTCTAAAGTACCAATTAGAGCCAAAGTGCAACAAAATAGGTCTCTTGTAATGTTTTAATTGGAGCAAGATTTCTAGGAAAAAATTTGTTTACGAACAAAAAAAAGACGGACATACTTCGCACGTGGGTGGGACACTGTTGTTAGTGAGAAGTTGGGAAAGTTTTGAAAAGGGAAATTTAATGTATATCTGTGCAAGCAAAGATAAGCCATCGCTAGAGAAAAAACGATTCTGAGCGGAATTCAGTTGATATTGTTGCTTTGTTAACAATATAATACATGTAATATTATTGTAAAATAATTACATTAGCAATATATATTTTCTTTAATAATTTTTTTTTAAATTTTATTGTATCTATTTTCCCGTTTTTCTTAAGTATTTTTCATTTATTGGGTAAGCCCCTAAGAAAATGGTCACCCCAAAGTACCTCCTCGGTCCGATTCAATTTCAGAAAAGGTGCTACACTTAAAAAATCCGAGGAAGATTTCTAGTAGGAAAATCAACTACAGACAAAAAAAAAAAATACGCGTCACAGTAAAACCAATATGTCTCTCGCTTCCTTCAGAATCTAAAAGAAAATTGAAAATCGTCCGCGTTTTGTTTTACTTTTTTTCATTTTCTTTCGGAAAACACTTTTTCGATTATTGAAAACGCTCGGATTACGTCACGTCGTCGTATCACCTTTAGATGTAATACCGTCGAGTCGCGGATTTTACACAGGCGGTAGAGTACTTTATGCGTACAAAAAAAAAAAAAAAACAAAAACATTTCTATAAACTCCCGGCGGTTATAAAAAAAACGTTAAACGCTTACGAAAAAAATGTCAATAGATCGGGGTCGGATTTCCGTCGATTTCCAGGCGACGTTAGCGGAGCGAGAATTCGCCACGGCTCATGATAACGCACTCGTACCGCGCGCACTCCGCTCGTCAGTACCGTTTGTTTTCGTTCCCGTTCCTCAACGACTTACGCGTGTAATGCCCACTGCGTTGCGCGGCGTATACAATCAAACTAAATTATAATTGATTGTAATTTATGTAGTTCCGATGCGAACCAACGACACTGTGTATTATAATGGCGTAGTCGAATATTTCGTTTCCCACCGCGGTCTATACGAAACTGCGGATCCGGGCTCTTATTAATAATTATTCAGGGCGGCCGTGTGTATAATTTATTATAATTTGTGCACTTACACGCGCCTGTATACGCGAGCGGAGAAACGCCCGCGCCACCCCCTCCCCCCCCCCGAAATAATAATAATTTAACGGCGTGTGTGTATTACAATATCGCGTTTATTATTTCAAAGCCGGATCCGCATGACGGCGGCGGCGGCGTAGTTCGGTATTACGGCGAAACTTCCGTTTCGCGAACTTAATCCGTTCTCGCGGAAATTCCCCGTTTAACGAAACATTTTTGGGAACCGCGTCGTTGTTTATGATATTCCGATCGTAAACTTAGCTCCGTTACGGCGAAACTGATACGTTTTCTACGTTGTACCGGATAGATTACGGGCGGGACCTCGATAGCTCAAACGTCTACGTATATGTGTATAAATACTCGTACGTAAGTCGCAAAGACGTCAGGTTTTGAAAATCGCATAGGGGGCTCGCCGTTTATCCCGAAACGTATTACAGTTTTACCTAAATAATCTTGTGTAGCCGTCGACGAGGTATTCCAGTTTTAAATGTCGGTTGGAGGAGAGTAGTGGAGCATCATCCGTGTGGCGGTAGGGCGCGCGGCGTGTCGATAACGCGCCACTACTCTCCTCCAACCGAAACTTAAAAGCGGAATATCTCGTCAACGGCTTGACAGAAATCGAAAATGTCGACACTCGGATTTATTTCAACCGACACTGCGTCGATTTATTGACATTTGATCATAGGTTACCGATTGAAAACCAAAAGTAGTTAATGGTTTTACCCCCAAAAATAAGGGCGACGAAAAATAACACAAATATACAATTATAGAGCAACTTGTTTCTTAAATGTTCTAGAAAACAAATTCCGGAAAAAGTTAATGCTTTCCGTGATAACGAGTGTACCTACTTAAATGAATCACCCGGTGCATGACAAATATTGATTTTTTTTTTTTTTTTTCGTTTATAATACAAAAACCGCAAAGGACTGAGCTCCGTCTCATCAAGCTCATGGACGGCTTCTTCTTCTAGACTGTGGACACGTTTTTTCCAAGTAAACTTGCTCCGATTTTTACATGTTACAACTTTTCTGAAAGCTCAAGTTGTCTAGATGTTACTTTAAATAAGTTTTTTTTTGATTTTTGAGACCATTTTTTTAAACAAGAGCACTTAAGTGGGAAAAAACGTAGAAACTTTAAACTTGGTAATAATACTTATATTGGACTTACCTAGACATGGTAAAATTTTCAAAACCATCGGACTACTTTTTTTGTAATTAGCGTTTTGAAATCAAATTTAAACGAAAATCGAAAAAATTAACGGACTTAATAAATAAATAATGTCATCACAATAACCGTATAGTGTTCGACACGGTAAACAGTAAAAATTTTAATATTGGAAAAAAAGTGTCTGGTATCTTTTATTCAGTTCTTCGTATAGCTATCAGCTGCAGATATTGTCAGTAAATCGTGGTCCAATCATTGGGTATTATCATGTTGTTCTATGGATTCAACATGGAGTATAAGATCCAAAAAGGTTACCTGCTATTGCTACACGAATTACACAACTGACCTCAATTGTTGATTACAGTTTACAAAATATTAATCAGCTATCACAGGTTATAATTTATTTTTTTAAATTTCCGTTTAAAAATATATGACTGTTCTGTCAGTAATTTGTACGCACGCTTATGAATATTACAAAAACGTACGGATCAATATTACTATACTAGTACCCGTTTAAAACGTATTTAAAATAGTTAGAGTTACTCTGGAAATTTTTTATTCAAATTTCGATTAAAATTAGTCAAACTATATAGAAAAAATCATCTGATTCACAATATTTGCATGAAGACTTGTATGTTTTCATTTGAAAAACCTAAATTGGTATCGCCACAGGATATTCTTTTAATGTTGTGAAAAATCGAAGAATATGAAAATATCATCTTTAATAATAACATTTGAAAAATTCCAAAAATTAGAATTCGAATGTATGCATAATTTAACTACGAAAATGGAACGAGCGTACTTAAAAAGTCACACTGTATATAAACTATAACTTTTAGTAAATTTTTCTGGACCAAAAGAGCTCAAAGTCGGAAATTAGAGTTTTTTTTATAGGCGGATTGAAGTAATAAAATTTCGATTAAATTTCAGTAGGAACTTCAACACGCGAGAAAAGTTTATTTTTATCGGTATTGTGCACCCCTACAAACTCCTCTCCTCCAAAATTAAGCCAGAAGAACGAAGGATTTTGTATATGTATGGTGAAAGTATCGAGGATGTGCGTTTTGGTGATTTCAACTTTCTATCCCCTCCCCGTCCATTTTAATGCTCGGATTTCGTGTTTTCACGGGAAATATCGGATTTTATTTACACTTACACAGGCTCATGAAATTAAGATATACTTGGTTAAAACGTGTACATATAAATATAATTACTGTCGAGAATGTGCCTTTAGAAGGTTTGAACTACCTACCCCTGACCCCGCCGTCTGTTTTTGTTTTAACGAAAATCTCATTACCGTTTACTATCATAAACTGCATTACTTATTTCGGCAAAACGCTTTTTGTTTAGTTCTAACAAAACTACCATAGGATAATGGGGACGGTTGCAACCACTGTTATAGGTAATTTAATGTTTATCTGTAAGCAACGATTAAACATTTATTAAGGGAAAAACGATTCTGAGCGGGGTTTGGTTGATAAAGTTGCTTTTTCAACAATATTTTATACGTCATATTATTGGAAAATAATAACATACACGCATTAAATATTTTCTTTAATAATATTTGTTTAAGATTTTGCCTATTTTCCCGTTTTTTCTACGTTTCTTCAGGGTTTTCCCATTTATTGGAAAAATAAAAAAAAACGACCCCCTTAAAGTACCTCCCCAGTTAGATTTTCTTTCAGAAAAAGTGCTATTATTGAAAATCAAAGCAAAACCGCTGGTAGAATAGTCGTCCACAGAAAAAACAAAAACTAATTACAAACACCATTGTAAAACCAATACAATCCCCGCTTCGCTCAGATCTAAAACATTAAACACCGTACTAAGCCGACCCGGGGGGGAAATTTCGAATTTATATAGTGACGGTGCTCTGTTGCTTGTATTTTTTTTTTTGTAACTCAAGTCGCGTAAACTCTAGTCGCGTTTTGTCATAAACAGGTCGAACGGTTGTCAGCAGCTCTCCCGACCGATTCTATCGTGTGTCAACACACGGGCTAACGTTTTATTCCGCGTTAAACGTGTAATTAATTTGCATAGTATAATAAAAATATATCGTTTTCGCGCACACGTGCCGTTATTATAATTAAATAATAATAATAATAATTATTATTATTATTTTATGCATATAGCGCGCGTGTTCGCGTGTTAATTGTTATTCGAACGCGCGTTGCAAATAAGAAATCATTATTATTATTATTATCATTAATTTTATTTACATAGCGCGCCTCTGTACACTATTATAATAAAACGTTAAAACCTCATCGGTGACAATATTGTGTAGTATTGTAATATAATATAGTTATGTCTATATAGGCAGAGTTCGAGTTGGAAAA